CCATCAGTGTCCCCAACCCGGGACCCTCAAGTACCCCCCAAGCAACCACCACCACAACCGCAACGACAACAAGCACCGGCACCGGCACAGGGGCATCGCCCACAGGCTCCATGACCATCCCCACCGTATCCTCCAGCCCCAAGCCCTCGTCTTCTGCCGCTAGCTCTCCCCATGCCTCCTCGTCCCCAGGAGCATCCACTCGCACTGGTGGTGCTGGCGGCGGTGGTGGTGCAGGTGGTGCTTCACCTTCGGGCTCAGCTACGACCGGCTCAGCTACCCCGCCTCTTAAGACGAACGGGGCAGCACAAGTCACGGGGGGCTTTGCTGGTATAGCTATCGCTGCCGTGGCTGCGTATTACCACCTTTGATTCCTTTAGTTGGGGTCGATGTTTACCCTTCGGAGATGTCTCCCGATGATTGTCCTCCCTGCAAGGATTGAATGATAGTATGATGACTTAGGCTTGGGGTTTGTAATAATATAATTTTAATGATTGTCTTGCTTGGTTTTTTACCTTCTGTCTGAGCTTTTGGTTCTTTATTGCGGGGATTGTTTGCCTTTGTTGCTCTGTTTACCTACTTTCTACCTACCTTTGTTTATACAGAAACAGGTTTGGTTAATCTTAAACCATGTTGGATGATATGCGGTAGTACTATTCCTTTTGTACTCTTTAAGTATAATCAAGTATGTGAAGATAGTACATTTTATATGGAAGCTGAACTAAGAACGAAGAAAAGTGATGATGATGTAGTGATATGTATGTATTGGTATGTCCATGAGGGTAACGCCGTCGTAGAAGAACATTAAAAAAGTAATAGAATTGAATTGGAAAAAAGAAGTCTATGGTACCCATAGCCGCACGAATCCTCCAACGTCCTGGCGGCAAGTCACACAGCTCCCAAAATTGTTCATTGCGAGGCTCACCCTACACTCTTCGCAAACGCAGAGACATCGGCATGGCCATGTAATGACTGAACGTGGGTTTGTCTGACAGATAACACATGGTGGCCCGCTTGGCCCCAATCCCGAAGCACCAGATTCCCATGACTGCTCGTCAGCACGGACGGATGCGCTTGAGCGTCGGGAGAGGATAAGTTTCTCAAGTATCTCGCTCTCCTCTTCCATGGTAGGCTTTCGTTTCTCGGGTCTTATTTCCCGCGACATTCGAGATGACAATAATACCTGTGCCCTTTCATGCTCCATCTGTTGTTGAAAGCGACGTCGAGTCAGTATCCGACCTTCTTGACCGGCAGCGAGATGGGCAGCTAGGATGCGTGCCTCCTGTCTGCTTTCCTGATCACGCGGATCGAGCAAGCGCGCGAAAGAGCCAATATCCATCATTGATTCTTGTACGGTAGTGCTTTCGCGGGAGAAGCCCGAAGGGAAAGGATTATCGCGGGTGGGTGTACGACGACCGTCCGATTCATCCTCCCACTCAGAGTCTGCGGTCGTGGACATGGAGACGACACTGGTCGTGTCGTCATTGTCGTTTTCGGGAGGTGAGTAGTCTGAGCTCAAGTCCCGGTCACCCCATGAGCCCCCAGCCTTCCACCAGCCATAAAGCTTGTCATCAAGTCGCTGCTCATCCGACTGTTCCCAAAGCGTTGCGCCTGATAGTTCCCGCTTCCTCATTTCTGTTTCTACGTCGAATTCGTAGTCCGCGGGTAGCACCAACTCGCCAGTATCTGTCAAGATCCAGAAATCGAGGGACGCCGCTTCTTTGGCCTTCTGCCCCTGAGGTCGACTCTTACGTGGTCTTACTATTGTTTTCAGCCATTGTGGCCGGGCACTAATTCCCACCTTGCTCAACAGCTTGTCCAAGCCAAAAGCAGTCCATCTAAGGAGGAGATAGGAAATTCCACGAAAGAAAGCAAAGCCGTGGTAGCACCGGACCATGCCTCGGAAAGCCCCAACACCACCTGGATCTGTCTGAGTTCGAAGGGATCTGGATCCGTTCTTGGGCTTCTCGATCTTCTTCTCCCGGCCATATCCGCTTTCCCAATCGGAAGGCGCTTCTGGTAGATCAAAGTCCACAGATTCACCACCGCCAAAAGGAACATCGCTCGTATGGCTGACAGGGTCCCGTAAAGATCGCTTTTCTCGTGATGATTCGATCTCCGCCAACCTATCTTCTTCTAGCCATGTCATACTCCGAGCAACAACTCCTTTACCTTCGTTCAGAAACACCGCCTCACTGGCTGCAGTCAGGGCGGTGTATCCAATTCTCAACAGAGTGGTATAAAAGTCTTCGTGTCTATTAAATCGAATATTGTGAAACTGGGTAGCACCTTGCATATTCTCATGGGCCAACGTGAATCTCTCTCGAAGCGATAATGGCTGAGGAGTATCGGCAGGAAGGGAAAAAGCTGTGACGAGGAGAGCAAGCATATAGATCACAGCACATGTGATAATGCCCGATAGGATTAGCAGATGTGGTACGAATCCCACGATGCAAACTGTGGGAAATTTCAGGACCACGTTCTCGCTTCCCACAGACGAGCCTTTCAGCAAGCCCCATGCCATGGTAGACATGAAGCAAAGGCCCCAGAATGCCGTATTGAATAATCGGTACCGGCTCTGTTTACCAAGCACATCTAGGACGTTCGAGGTGAGGCTATTGCAACATGATATCAAAGCGATCAGAAGTAACTCTGGGGTCACATTCATCCGCTCGAGAACTTGAGCCCTACTCAGTAGATGAAGGGTGGATTGGGCACTTTCTCCCAAGTCATCTTTGCTAGCACTTTGTTTGGGTAGACCAAACAGTCCTAGCCCAAGAGTTTGGCTGATTGTAGACTCCGCCTCGGCAAATGCAAGAGAGTGCTCGAAAATAGACATACCAGCCTCCGTAACCACTGGTCTTCCCTGTAGCGCGCACGAAAGTGTTTCTACAAAGTGACTGAGGCACAGCCGGAGGAACACCGGCCAGAGAAGCACAAACGATCCATAGGAGATATCCGAGGAACTAGCGGGCCGGGCCATGTTCATTGCACTGCAAGACTGCTCATCCGTCTCCCATGACAAAAGCGTGGAGCTGAGCGAATACAGAAACCCTCCACCACCAGCATGATCAAATAACAAACGTTTCCCGGGAGTGCCGTACCGAATGAGCGAGTAATCGGTCGACGTCTGGCAACGGATCGCGCGGAGTAGTGAATGGATTTGAGATATAAAGAGAAGGATCGGTATAATTCGTAAAGCTAGTCGCCGGCTCCAATCAAGATGAAGGTGTCGTCGGGTAGACGCATATATGGTGATCCTGTTTAGAACAAGGGCCTTTGGTCTATTAGGGCAGGAACATCACGGGAACAATCTGGCAGGTAGAACTTTACCACGGTGAAGCAAGCCAAAGACCATCGACTAGTCAAGTAGGAAAAGAAACCACTGAACTTGATAACAGCCTGGAAGATGTCGGTGAGATGGTAACCCGAGTCGGCCTGCGCGGCGGCTTCAACGATGCCTTCTCTGGCAGCATCCGCTGCTGTCTGTGTCGCTTCTATCGCTGCATCCCTTGCTGGTCCTGCAACTTCTGAGGCCCCCAAATATGTTGTCATACTCGATAACCCCACTAGCCGGTTGACATGAGACGAGAGGGCGGAGAAACGGCGGAACGGGGCGGCGAGCAGTTCGCGCGCGGACGAGGATAGTGCAGAGGTAGCGGCAGCCGGGATCGTTGTATTTAGAGATTGCGCAGCGGATGTAGTCACAGGTGCGTTCACTGTCCCTTGCAAGACAGACATGGCTGGCTGCTTGGTTGGACGGCACTTGCCGGCCTGCTGGGCTGGATCCGAAGTGTTCAGACTTCAAGTACAAGACATTCGCAGCGAGATCAGCCGTTCGCGGTAGGATGAGGTTACCCGAGTGAATAGCGGTATCAGAGTGACGGAGATCCTGAGTGCATCATGTCCTAGAACATGAGCCTAGATGTCAGCGAGAGTATTGAAGATAGGTCGCAGTTCCCTTTAGTTGTTGTCAACTCCCTAAGTCCGGCGCTAATCCAATCTGGGAGAATCCGCTGGTTCCGCACGTGCCTCGCTGTAGCTGACCAACGCCAAGACGACGGAGTACAATATCTAATTGTCAGTAATAGCATCTCTCTCGAAGAGAATGGTTTCATTAAATTACGCAAAAATACTCAAATGCCATCTCATCAACGAGGTAGTATCTCCAAAAGTCTATTCTGGGCATTTTAAAGCTAGCATCTGATCAATTAACAAAATAGCTGTTTGACCCTTTCTCGTGGGTTACAGAGTGTTGCTAGCTTTCCCAATTGCCAATATCATCATAAACGACCGAAAAAAGAAAAAGAAAAAAACCAAGAACTAAATGGTGTCTTCCATGGACCTCATTAAACTTTGGAGAACAAACGTACTATCCGTAATGTCTCCCTTTCTCACAGGCTCGCCAGATGCAAGTTGATACAACTCTCCATCTCGTACTACCCAACTGTTGAGTAGACCTTTTCCACCTTTCGAAATTGAAGGGAAGATGAAACCCTCACCAAGGTCTGCGACTAAACTGGGAAGGGCTTTCCATTCACTGCGCGAAACAAGGTCTTGGTCAAAGGAGGACTCAAGTCGATATTCATAGACGAACGTCATACGCTCCTGGCCGAGTCGACTTACTCGTCCAATAGCCTGGTTAATGATTGACTTGGACAAGCCCACTGAGAGAAGATGAACGTTGCGGCAGAGATTTTGTAGATTAATGCCAGCAGCATTGACATTATACGTACATATCAATACCATGCATTCATCGTGTTTCTGTGTAAACCGCTCGATGAGATTCATCCTCTCATCACGAGTCAGTGCAGCATGGAAAACCTCCGCATCAATATTGGCTTCTTTGAGAATGGCTGCAACATAGATCTGCTCAGCAGGAAACTGGGTCCAAACCATTGCTTTTTCGCCATGAACAATTACCTGATCACGCAAGACGGGAAGCATAGCCCTCATTTTGGGCGAACCCTTTAGGAGATACTCGAGAACCCAGGTTCTCCGCGTTTCGACTATCGATTCGATACTCTGGTAGATAGACTTTTGGTATTGAGGATTCAATTTCCTCACTATGGTTCGTGCGAAGACTGTCCCTAAAGTCCCTTCTTCCAACTTCCTGCAGGCATTGGGTATCTTGGTTGCGTAGAGCGTATGCTTGAGATAATCGAAACCTAGCCATGAGGTTAAAAGACAAAGGTTGCGGAGTTTAGACATGTTCCAAACCACTTTGGTCGGATCTTTTGGATGCTTCATGAAAAGTCCATCGAAATGAGGAACAGAAACTCTAGCATACATATCTTGTTCCTCTCGGCTGAATACCACAGTGCAGACTCTGCGATGCGTTGGTGGTATGTCACTGCCTATCATCCTTGAACCGAATGACTGCAAACGAGACGTTAAGGCTCTTCTAACCATTGTTTGCCCAAAGACAACACGTAAGCGCTCGCCTGCCGCCATTGGCGGCACTTTTTTGTCCAGGATGTACTCTTCCACTGCCTCCCTCGTGCAGCAAATGTACCTCGCAGGGTTTCCAGGGGGGGATTTGAAGATATCCCTCCCTAACTTCTTTAATACATCCTTATCCGCTTGAGAAGGCGGATGAAACAGTAGTGGAATATATCCACGCATGTCTTCACGAGAGTTGTAAATAGGAGTGGCAGTCAATAGTAGATAGAAGCTGGCCTTCAACCAGTAGACCACAATGGACTGTGAGGTATCCGGATTTCGAAGTGTATGCCCCTCATCAATAATCACATCTGAAAAGCACCCTTCAAGGAGATGCGGAAACTTCGGTAGGGAACCTGGTATATCCTTCGTATAATCCAGACCTGTTTTTCTACACCATGCCTTCACAGCGGCGGGCCCATGGCGGTTGCTCAGTGTTTTATAAGAAGTAATAACCACTGTCCGACCATTGATTGGTGAACCATCAAACAGCTCATGTTCCTTATGCAGTATAGTCTTCAGTGGCTGTATGCCCTCTTTAGATGCCCTGTTGCCATAATACAACACAACTCGCAGCTTGCCTGTAACCCGAGTGATCTCTGCACACCATTGCATGACGAGTGACGGAGGCAAGACGACCAGGAATGGTTTACCTTGCGGGAGTTCTTTTCTTTCACTCATTGCCTTTTTAAGAGATTGGTTATAATCTTCCCATATCTATAGCTTGGTTAGTTATTCGTTGATTAGCTTATTTGGTGAACACGTTGGTGACAGTGCAGACCTTGAGCATTAACGCAATGGCCTCCCACGTCTTTCCTAGCCCCACAGAATCGCCCAGGATAGCACCTCGAACCTTAGTATTTGCACGAATATCAAGCAAACGGGCTATGGCAACCGGTTGCCAGAACTTTAGAACAGCTGATCGGTTCATAGATCTCATTCGTGGTGCCCTGGGATTTGCGATTTTGAGAATCTGACAGGCCTCTTCGTGATTGTCTATCTGATATTCAGGATTGTCTAGCATCTTTCGATGCTGTTCAAATTGCTCCAATGATTCTTCCGTTGGAATGATCAACATGGAGGACTCAAAGTCACTCGTGTCAATCTCTGCAGCCATACTTGCTTCTAGGTCTGCCGTCTTTTCAATTTTCATTGGGTCAAAATGATCAGTCTGGCTGTTCACTGACGGATATAAGCCATCAACAGAATGGTCCAGAGTAGGTTCCCAAGCGGTGTTTAGGTTGATTGATAGCTGTCCTAGATTTTCAATCTGTTCATCCACAGACGACGTCTCAACTCTCTTTAGGGCTTCGGATATATGTTGGAACTGCCAGTACTTTTCCTGCGGATTGTAACATGGGGACGATCTGGTCAAGATAATCCGCTCTCTTGGATGAAGCATCTCCTCGCGCCACTTATCTATCGTTAGATCTATCAGCTCAGGCTCTTCGGTGCTTAGGTGATCCGATTCCTGCTCGTCTGCGTCTAGATCCACGCAAAATAATGGGTCTTCTTCGGACTTCTGATAACGCGGGCGCTTGCCTATTACAGAGTTTCCATTAGTGCTTCTCAAGTAGCTCAGAAGAGCCCAGACGATGGCTTCCATGAATGACTCGGGAAGGTTTTTCCTGAAGAAAACGCCCTGGTTAGACCTGTGATTCTCGGTCTTAACCATACACACAAAGCGTGCTAGATGATCAGCAAGGTCCCATTCGTCTTTCTCAGGAAATCGCGCGCTATATCTCGTTTGTCCGTTTGCCTCCCCCCGAGCCAGCTTCTCTAAAGCCACTTTTCGACAGATTCTGACGGGTTTTCCTGACTTTGGCTTGGATAGACAGTCGCTGTACAGCTCTTTCCACCAGGGGGCAACTAATGAACTCCTTAGCCACTCAAGCCATTCACTATGAGTCTCAAGCTTGAGGATCTTTTGAAGCGCATTCTTTCCTCTTCCTGGTGTGAACTTTTTGTGGACTCCGTCATTTTTCTCTACTTTTCGTTAGCATATGGAAAGGTTACGAGCGTGCTTTTTCTTACCATGTTCGGTATGACCAAGGTCAAGATCAGAATCAGTGTCAGACGTCATGGTGCAGTTTCGAAAACTAGTAAACCAAATCGGTGTCGGTGTATCGGTCACAGTAATGGGGAAGTGATCAAGTAGCCAGGGGAAGACAGTGATAGATTAAAGCCGGGGGCGTTGCAGTCTGAGGCTTTGGATATGGTAGGAGTATGGAATCAGGAATGAGAGGTGTAGAGATTTAGAATACTTTATGAATGTTGTGACAGTTAAAGTTTAATTCATAGGGATATCAGCCATGTAAGATTGAGGAAAGAGACGATCTGCGGGATTTAGAAAAGATGTGACCAAGCACGATAGAATGGATAGTGTCTCTGAATCCTGAAATGCATAAAATGGTTGAAGAATAGATTAAGACAGTGGGAAGGGGTTGCAGGTAAGCTTGATGATAAGGAAATATGTAGTCTGGGTTAGGTGTATCAGAGGTGAAGTGATGATGATCTAGTGGAAGATGGAAAGTGAGGATGATCTCGTGGAAGAGAGAAAGTGAGAATCATTAGTGGAAGAGGAAGGTGAGAGATCATAGAATAGCATTGAAACATTCTATGAGTGTAGGACACATTAAGAAGATCAAAGGGTATGGGAGGAAGATGGTAGAAGTGATCACCTGGGAATTAAGAATTGACAAGCAAGGGTGAGGTTACAGATTTTCTGGGAGAGATAGTAAAAGATTGAGTGACCGAGATTTGAAGCACTTAAATACTGTCTTGAGATTCAGGAGATATATGTATAGCTTTTCCTCCTCATCACTTGGCACGTTCACATCTCCGAATAGGCTCGATATATTGTATAGAACTACGCGGCGTTCTTCTAGGTTTTGTGCACGGAAACTGCCTGGGGTTGGCTGCCATATGCAATGATTCTAACCATATGTCGGCGGTCACCATCCTCGAAGTCTGGCACAGCTGAGTGGGCAACTGCTCTCTAATACGAAGGTCAGCAAACTCTTCACGCTGATGTATGATGCTGCGGTACGTACTTGATCCCATACCACAACAGTTCCTTTCTCCCATGAAACCCGACAACTGAAATCCAATGATCGAATATGATTATGCAGAAACGCTATCAGGTTTCCCGACTCCTCGGGTTTATAGCCAACGACCTGTCTTGCGATGGTCGGGTTCACAAATAACGCGGACTCGTGGGTGACAGGATGCTCGATAATAAGCGGATGTTCAGTTTGTACTGCCTCCTTCAGTGCTCTTTCCTGCCCAATACGCGCAACCTCCCCCACACTGGCACTGGTGTGTAGGAGTTTCAACGGATGTAGGCCTTCACGAAAAGTGGGTGAGAGGGCTTGATAGGCAGCTGTCAGTGATGTGAATGCGGTATCCCCGCCGCCAGACGCAGGTGTCTCAAGAACCCAGAAGAATGTTACTCCAGGTGTGTTGGGCGTGAATGTCTGGTCGATGTGCCAAAGATCATAGCTGGTACGTGTTCCAAGCAAATTGCGCAGATTTCCACTAGAAGTCAATCAGCCGGTGGGAGAGACGGTTCGGAGGGAAGACTTTCATACACTTTTTCGTCTGCATACACCACCTGGAACTCAGGACTAGTTCCTTGTGGGTATCCCATTGTCGGATGCTATGCAACTAGGGCATCAGTTTATGTGAATTGCACGTCATTGCGAAGCTTATCATGCGCGAACCTGATGGAGTGGCCCATAATGAGCTGCGATATCCCGCTGTCGGCCTGTCCCAATGTCGGCAAAATCTTGGTCTCTCTGCACCACTCGTTAGTTAATATTCGGTTGATATAAACAGTAAAGAGTGGCGCGCTATATTATGGAAGGGATTGAAGTTAGGTCATCATACAAATACGAGCACGCCTCTCTGGGCAGCCAACAGTGCTATTTGATCCAAGCCTTCCGTACTTAATTGACTTAGCTGCACTCCTCGTATTTCCGTTCCAATACGTGGAGTTATGTTCTTAATCTGGCTGTCTGTAGTGTAGATCTCTGGTAAGGAGGGATCTGCGCGACATCCTGCTTCGGGAATATCCTGGAGTGGAACCCGCAGAGTTGGAGTGAACCCTTCCGGACGGACAGGGAGGTAAGAGGGGTAGAGAGGGGCAGAATCGTTGTTAGGCATGATATCTAAGATCTATTAGACATTGATATTACAGATCTGGCCACTAGATAATAGTAGCAGAACTTGATGTTACAGTCTATGCCGATCAGGCTAGGGCCAGGTTATATAGACGGTTATTATATGCTGTGGCGCCACTACAACGATTATACCCCTCCATTCTCTATGACCCCAGTCGAATCCTTGTTGCTTCTGAAGGGATTTAATAAAATTAAACCGGAGGGATTCCGAAAAAATTACCTATTGTGGTCACCACCTTAGAGCCTGTGTCAAATGATACAACGATCCGACATGATGATGCCTTACAAGCCAAGAAATACACCATCAACACCCACTCACATATGGTGTATTGCAGAGACGCAAGCTCTTCCAAGTTCCAACACTAAGCGAGGACGTGCATATCATTTTCTAACTTACAATTCTTGGCCATCTTAAACCTTTGGTCTTTTGCAAAAGCCCAATCAGACTTTGTATTAACCACTGGGCTACAGGCGGCCAACGCCGCAGACCATCGATGATACCTATCGCGCCATAGACAAATGCGAGATTCCTTCCAGCATATAAACCTTCTGTCTCCGATAAAGGAATGCTATTCAAACGGGTACGACGTATCATGCTAAAGGCTTATATACCCAGTTGAAGTATGGCGACGACCAAAAACAGTGTGGTTATTGAACAACACCCTTCGGATGATGAGAGTCCACGCGTTACAAAAAGCCGAGGATGGGAAAACTCAATTTTATCAAAACTCTGCAATGACAGGGAGCGTCTGGTGGTTCTTAAAATTGATTTCCTGCTGTTGACATGGGCGTTTGTTTCTGGTTTGACCAAGGTCGGTTTCCCTTGATGCGCGACATAATCCGGACAAATGTTTTCTTTTAAAAGTAAAACTAACTAGGTGAACTGCAGGACATGGACCAGTCTGCAACTACTCAGGCATACGTTTCAGGAATGAAGGAGTCCCTCAGTCTTTATGGCAATGAACTCGTGGAATTCACAACATTCTTTTCTATCGGATACGCTATAGCAATCGTGCCTTCGCAGCTGACGCAAACGAAGATTAGGCCATCTGTATGGCTTCCAACCTGCGAAATTATTTGGGGTGCATTGAATCTGGCGTAAGCGTCCCTCCTCGAAGCTTTCTAAAGCATGCTAATGCACATAGCAGTACATTTGCCGCAAAGAATGCAAGAACAGTATATGCATTGAGATTCTTTTTGGGGGTCTTCGAGTCCGTAAGTACCATCCCACCATTTTAAGCTAGAGATATAGACACTGAAAAGGGTAGACCTCTTGGCCGGGCCTTGCCAGTCTGCTGTTCAACTGGTGTATGTCAAAGGATATCGCATTCGTATCTCTGTTTCAAACTAAAAAGAAGTCTAGATACTCCCCAGGAACTGGGAACACGCCTGGCAATCTTCGGTGTCAGTGGCACGGCAGGCAATATGTTCCTTGGAATTTTACAGGCAGCCTTATACAAGAATCTAGACGGCGCAGGCGGACTACAAGGATGGCAATGGCTGTTCATTGTCACGGGTTGTATAACGATGGCATGGGGCATCCTTGGCCTGTTCATTATCCCCGATTCTCCAAGTATTACCCGGGCGTATGGTTAACAAAACAGGAACGCATAATTGCTGTAGACCGCATGGCGAGCCATGGGATTAAGACGAACGAACTTGTCAATCGAAAAGTTGTTCTTGAGAAAATTCGTGCTCTCCTAAAAACCCCACTGAGTTGGCTCTATATCGCTGCATATCTTCAGTATGCATGGAGTCAGAGGTGCAACTCATATTTCCTGCTATACCTAAAGGTATATCTCTCTTACTTGTGATGGTGGTAAAGTTGGATACTAATCCACATAGGGCCTAAAAAATGATAATGGTGAACAGCTATATAGGTAAGCTACATAATGCCGTCCATAGCTGTGAAGATAATCTTTTAACGGAAGCAGCACGTACACTGTCAACCTCATTCCATTGGGCGGATACGCAATTTCTATCGTCACCAATGTCGGTTTCAATTATCTGAGTGACAAGAAGCAATGGCGATGGCAAGTGGCCGTCTCTACAGCGGTAGGTGGATTTTCACACTGATTTACACATTATAATCGCCTTTCTATCAGCAGTTTGTCTAACACTACCAAAGCTGCTGCAAGTCCTCTGCTGTTCTGTCTTATCCGCCTGGCCCGATTCCACACCGACAGTCATGGCCTTCTACTTCATGACCTTTGCTACCAGTGGGTGGGGGTATGTCCTGCGCTTCTAGCTCTCATATTACACATCCTGTTAAGCTAAAACTATCTATTAGGTATGCACTACTAGCTTGGATCGGCGAGATCCTTCGCAAAGAGCCCGAAGTCCGATCAATTCTCGTAGCTCTAACTGTTACGCTTGTGTGTATGTTTAGCTCATCGAGTTCTGTGTTTTCACCCTCCCTCTTTTTTTTTCTTCCTTGATGCCATTGAATATTGTTATTATCACTTGCTAATCTCTATTCAAAAAGACGTCGGCCATGCGACAATTCCACTTCGTATTTGGAGAACGTCAGATAGTCCGCGGTATCCTATTGGGTTCCCGTTGTCGGCTGCTTGGGCAGCTGGGAGTATTGTTTCAATGATGGGGATCGAATTTTACATCAGGAGGTAAGGATTTCGTAACCAAATTACCTTGGTTAGAAGTCCTGTAGCTAACGTATGGATTGATCAGGCACCAGGAAATTCTGGAGAATGGTCTTAGTGGGGTTCCACTGGAAGAGGATCAGAGATCAGCTAGGGATATCTTAAAGGATACTTGATGATATGAATGCATAGTGGATGCTCTTCGGAAACTTAGATATGACTTGATATCCGGTTTATATAGATACATCTATGCAGATGCAGTGCAATTCCCATATTCTCCGGCGTTGTACCACGCGTCTTCCAATCCCATAGTTCTATATTGCAAACCATAAAATGCGAGTAACCAAGAACATAGTATTTGACATGTGCTATAGTTAATTTGATAGATCTTTCACCTCCCGGAAGTGCACGGTTTCCTTCCTCGCATAGTCAGTGAGGCCTAGACTTCGATCTGGCGAGAACTTCAGTGGACATTCTCAGCCTGGAGACAACATGACAAAGTTCGCGTAAGCCGTGACACAGGAAATATCCATAAAGTAGACTAGAAGAGAGTTTATGACAGTTAAAAGTCGGGAACAGCCCCGGCAGAGGAACTACTCGTAGAAGAATCTTCCAATTCATAAATTCATTTCATTGTAGATTGACTCCTTAGGCGAACCCTGCCATAGCAGCTCAGTGCACAACCGCATCACAATGTGTACATCTCGCTACGGCTTCGCACTCCATCGAAAATGCATGTGTTATCCAGCGGTACATACTGCCGTGTGATAACCTTGAGTGCCTCCTGTGCGACCAAGCCACCAGTAAGAGACGAGATATTATGCAGCTCGCCGCCTTCTGTCCGGCGTAGTTCTTGGGTGGCTTCCAAAATGCGTTCCCGAGCGTCCTGACCAACTGCAGATTGGTCATTGGCCGTGAGCGCAGAAAGGACACGATCAATCTGAGCGTCCCACGCCACCTCGTCATCAATGGATCCACTGGGAATTTTTCCTTCTTGGAGGTCGGTAACAACATTGTCCAGGACTTGAAAGGCAACGAGGACAGGGATGAGAGAGTCAGGTATACTTATATTGTTGCGGATCGCCTTAAGTGTCTGTACTTCGCCATCAATTTCAGGGATATTGCGTCCACGAATAACCTTGATGTGAGCGGCATTCTTGCAAAATATTTCGATGTCCTTCTCTAGAACCTCAGCAGACCGGGATCCTATTTGGGACTCGATTCTTCTGACTATATTTGTGACTTCCTCTACATCTTTTCTCGCCTTCGACTTGTAGATGTTCTGAAGAGAGACATAGTCTGCCGACTGGGCTTTCATATCGGGCAGTGAGCCGGGAAGAGGCAGCACATTATGCTGCTGGAAGAACTCCTGAACTGCAGATGCGATAATCCAGAAATCGGCCGAGTCGGCTCGAGGGTTTTTGCACTCGTCCATCTCAAAGATCTCGCGAGTCGAGCTGCGTAAGCTAAAGGGGTTCAACGATTTCAATACTGCCGCAACAGCCTCATCATAGTTCTCTTCGCCGCCTTCAGGGTTACTCGTTCTTGCGCTAGAGCGCACCATCTCCCTGAACTCAGACTTTTCCTTGTAATTCGCTGGAAAGTTGCCGTTGTGTGTCTCCTTCCATTTCTCAAGGTAGTGGAGAAGTAGTAATAGGTATGGAACATGACCATGTTGGTGATCATCCAAGGTCTCCAAATCACTGATTCGAGAAGCAGCTTCTACCAGCTCTGGCCAAGGGTTGAGCAGACGGAGATCCTGTGTTGTCTCCGGATCTGGATGGGTCTCTACTATAGGAAACAGGGGCGGTAATTGGAGTGAGAAGGCGGAGTAGAATCCAACAGAGCGTGTATACAAGACTGGGATGTTTAGCTCATTGGCAGCCTTGCAAAGAGCATCTAAAGAGGGTCGCTTCATAGGACCAGAAACTAACACCAGTCTATGCTGTGCGAGGAATTCTGGATCCTGTCTCAGAAGTTCCGTAATTGACTGAAGACAATGTATCAGCATATAAAGCTATTTAAGGACAGATCCCCCTATCCCATACCTTTGACTGGAAGCTCCCTTCTACGTCTGGGTTCAATTCTTTTAGTAATCGGCAGGTCTCTGCGGCCCTAGGCTTCCCCAGGCTCTGTTCTTCGAGGAAGAAATTAACTCCAAGGTCCGCCTCAGTGACAGTAGCAGGATCCACGATAGTAAATCCTCCAATTCCAGGAAGGACAAGGTTCTTCAGTGTTTCGACACCCACTACACCTGATACGCCAGTGCTCTGGTTGCTCCATGGGCCATCAGAGTTGACCAAAAGTACACGAGACTCCTCTAGAGCCTTCTGACCACTTGCAGCCCATAGCCGCAGTTGTCGATCATATTTTCTTTCTTTGGATGATGGCCCAGTCAGGGCACTAGGAAAAGCATCAGTCATGAGGGCGGGGAAGTGAAAGAGAAATGGTGAGGAATAGGTGAGAGTAGCAGAGACACGCTATCAAGTCACTGGTACGACCAGATTGCTAGTACTGCCTCAGACAGGCGATATAATATCAAGCATCTGACAATTGTTGAAAGCCAGTAGTAGCGGTTGACAATGGTTCTGCAGTAATCCGTAGTAGACGCTGCATGCCCACGTGACGGGTAGCTAACACCCTGGGAACGGTTAAGTGCGTGGAGTCGGAGGGGCAGAGCGTTCCTGGACCTCTGTGACATGACGGGCAGAAATGGGGACCGCCAAGCTGACCGCCGGGCACATCTTGCTATTGCAATCGTTTTTCAGGTAAGCTAGTTGATTAAAACGAGATAATGATAATAATCAATTTTCCGTCCTTTGGCATCAATTGCTTAGACTAGTAGCATCCCCACGATCAGTACCTGCCCCGTACAGAGTGATGCATCTCTAAAAATGAAGGAGGTTGGGTGAAGCAGACTTTCAAGCCATGCTCCCGAGCATGGACAAGCAAACATCTCGAGCCATGTCAATTTTCTCAACAGACTAGAGGGTTCAGAAAACCAGCGGGCGATCGATTTCGGAACAGCCATGGCCAAAATTTCACATACGAACCCCAAGATCGGACACACGATGAAATTATCCGGTCTTCCGCATGTATCACAGCAGGCGGCCCTGGGAGATGTTTTGGGCTATGCTCTCCTTTTAATATGGAGAACGGGCTCCGTAGGTCTATGGAGAGTAGATACTTGGGCTATTTGTCCATCAGGTCCAGAATGCTCATTGAACATTCGGTGTCAAGGTCATACCAGGGTGACAGGTGGATTGCTCTTGTCTTATTGGCGCAGAGAAAAAGCCTTAATAGGACAGAGTTAACCCTATGGTTGAACTTACACAGATTATAGCTTTACAATATCGAGGGCCGCGATGATTGAGGGGCAACTAGCCTCATACATGGACAGATCTTGCTAGTATTCGTAGAAGCTCAATCTGACAGTATAATAAGGTCTGGCTTTACTTCTAGTGGTTTATATGGCCTACATACTGAGCACAGGTCAGCTAACTACTCATATAGTAGCAGCATTCTACAGTTAATATATTCTCTTAGTTTATCTGGAATCTTATGTACTCAAAGTTGGAGCTGTGGTAATTTTTTATTCAAAAAGATGAAATCTCTCTTTTCTTACCTGGTTTAAGCTGTACCGGGTCACGCTGGCCTTTATTCTAACCACACTGGTGTTTGCGTCTGGATTACTGTACTGGGTAATCCTAACCGCTGACAGCTGAGGCCATGCATGGCGGCCTGAGGCTGTCTCAAGCACTATGACGACACAACCCCACCACTGGTCAAAAGCCCCTTTCACCATTGCGACAATCAACATAAACTCGGCAATTCGCAGGGACGTTATCATTAGGTGTGTTTGGTACAGGTGTTACATATCCATTGAGCCTCAATTGCTGTGCCATGTTCCTAGCAATTTCACGTGGCTGCCAATTTACCGTGTAAGTCACGATTTACCGGGACGTTCCTTGGGATCGCATTTTGAATCCCCACCTTCAGGGCAATTGCGGTTCTTACCCCCAGTTAATTCCTGCCGCTAGAGCACTTTAACCTCCGGTATAGCCCGCCTAATCATATTTATACAGATTGCGATCCTCGTTCCCCTCATCCTTCTCCGCTCACCCTCGTCTGCGTCTTCATACCTTTCGTCCCTCGTCTCCCCCAGTCTTTCCTGCAAACTTTCGTCTTAAATCCACAATGGCCGATCTTATCGAATCCGCAAAGCGCGCAGCCGGTCAGGCTGCTGTGAAGAACCACTATCCTAAGGATGCCAAGTATGTGGGCATTGGCAGTGGTTCCACCATCGTCTACGTTGTTGAGGCCATCAAGGAGTCTGGTGTCGATACCTCTCAAACCAAATATGTGCCTACAGGCTATCTTTCCAAACAGCTCATCGTCTCCAATGGCTTGACAGCCGTTGAATTTGACTCTCTTCCCGAAGGAACCGTGCTGGACATTGCCTTTGATGGAGCGGATGAGGTCGATGACGACCTCAACCTGATCAAGGGCGGCGGCGCCTGTTTGTTCCAGGAGAAGATTGTCGCCCTCCAGGCCAAGGAATTTGTCTGCGTTGCTGGTCAGTGGACCTGGTATTGAATAAAAATCCTCCTATCAAGACTAACCAAAAGCAGACTCCCGCAAACTTCAGTCTCGTCTCCTTTCGAACTGGAAATACATCCCCATCGAGGTGGCCCCCATCGCTGCCAGCCGTGTCCTTGGAGAACTCAAGGAACTTGGTAGCATCTCGCCTGCTCTTCGTTTGAACCCTACTGCTCCGGAAGGCGCACCCAAGCCCACCCCTTTGAAGACCGACCAGGCCTTCAACCTCATTGACGCTCCCTTCAAGACCCTTCTTACCAAGGCAGATATTGCAGCCGGGCAAGATGGCAGTGGAAAGGATGGAGTTTGGGAGGTCGAAGCCCTTTCTCGGGCCATCAAGCAGATTCCTGGTGTCTTGGATGTTGGTATCTTCTCCGGTGAAACTGGCCCTCAGGCGCAGGCTCGTGGGGGTACTGGAGGTCAGAAGCCTATCGCCGCGTACTTCGGCATGCCTGACGGCTCCGTGTCCGTTAGGAAGGCTTCTGCTTAACCACTTATTTCCCGAGACGATCTAGACATGTATACATAACAGTGGAACTAAAAATGATACCATTTGATGCTAGCGTAATCGGATTCCTTACACTGTCTACCTAGACAAGGGTTCAAATTCCATTTCCAGTCGTGATAATTAGATGTTCATAGTAAAGCTACGTAATTCTATTTCGCACCCTTGCCCTTGGCCTCTGTCTCACCAAGTTCGCGCACATAAATCTTGACCGCCCCCTCAACAACGTCATCTTTCCCATCTTCAAATCCTGGGCTGACAGCAATGGCCAGGTACTTCCCATTACCACTGAAATCCACGGCAGCAACACTAGACTGGTACTTCTGATACTGCCTGATTCTCCTCTTCGCAATACCATCCCAGAGAGCAACCACACCATCACCACCTCCGGACGCAAAGGTTCCATGTACGGGGTGGAATGCAAGAGTGTTCACGGGGTATACCACATCGACATCATCAGCCGTTTGGCGATGGCACTTGAAAGCATATTTCCGTGCTTGCGATTCAGCAGAGGGATCAAACCATTCAACAGCGACTCGACCCTCAATGCTCGAAGAAGCGTAACCCGCATCATCAGGCATACATGCCACGCACCGTGTCATAAACTTAAGACTGCTTTCTCTCCGCTGCCACGGTTCGACCTCGACCTTGTTCGGAACAGTACCATCCAACTGAGCCGTGAGGACAGATAGCGCCTTCAGATCATAGATATGCAACGCGCGTGAGGCCATTGCGACGACCAGCTTCGTAGCGGTGAGAGACATGGAGAAGGGCTTGGAAGGAAGGGGAATAATCGAAGGTATGGAGTCCGGAGCATCGATGCGATGTACGTGTAATGTGGAGTCCCAAGATGCCGATATCACCAGTTGATGTTCCTTGCTGTAAACGACGCTTCGAACGCCGGCTTCATGGCTGCTAAGCACGGTCTGGGTTGATGTCGCTACATCAATCCTGCAGATTGTTAGCACTGCATTACACTTTCCCATCTCTTGGTATCTTCACTGAGGAAGGAAAATGCGGCTGGACTCACTTCCTAACGTCCCAATCCAAACCGGCCGTGTAGATCTCGTCCTCGGTTGCGCCGAAGCACACATCAAGTACCGGAGCACGGTGCTCGAATTTCTGTAATAGTTTGCCCTCTCCTACATTCCCGTTTTCATCGCGCAGCTCGTAAAGGTACACATTTTTGTCCCAGGATGATACAACAACTCGTGTGGAATTAGGGTCGGGAGAGAACTTCAAGGCGGAGATGGCATCAGTCGGTGGAGACGCGACAATGAACTGGTCTACAAGTGCATTAGCCAGGTATGTAAGTTATGCCATAAGAAGATTATACATACTCGACGCCATGATTGCGCAAGGTCAACGGGAAAAGCCAATTGAAGCAGCAAGGCAGATAGTTGTTGATCGGCCGGCGTCATCGCAGCTTTGGTCCTTCAGATCATTTTCTGCCGCATAACACCGCCCTATAATATTCTCCCCGCCATTATCAATGAATGCAATCGATAAAGTCTCTCAACGTATCTATAGCACGTACTTTTCCGGCTATCTTGCATTTTCATCACGGGCGGATCATCATGCCATTTGCGCAGCTAGTGATAGGGCCTCCCGGCGCGGGAAAGTCGACATATTGCAATGGCATGCATCAGTTCCTTGGGGCAATTGGGCGCAAATGTTCGATCGTGAATCTGGACCCCGCAAATGATAAAACGTCATACCCATGTGCGCTGGATGTTCGCGACCTGGTTACGCTCGAGGAAGTAATGAGTGAAAACAACCTGGGTCCTAATGGCGGTATACTGTATGCACTAGAAGAACTTGAGGAGAACTTTGACTGGTTGGAGGAGGGCATGAAGGAACTTGGAGGTAAGCGTCGGAATTGGTGTGGCACACTTGGTATGACATGCTGAATTGTGAGTCGTTGTTAGATGACTATGTTCTATTTGACTGTCCAGGTCAGGTCGAGATATTTACGCATCACTCTTCCTTACGAAATATTTTCTTCAAGCTCCAAAAGATGGGATATAGAGTATGTCTCTTCCATTCCGTTCTTGCTACACAATAACATACATGGGGCTAATCGCTACTTTAGTTAATTGTAATACATCTAATTGATTCATACAACCTCACTCTACCTTCTATGTACATATCCGCCCTCATCCTCTCCCTCCGCGCCATGCTCCAGATGGACCTTCCCCACCTCAACGTCCTCACCAAGATCGACAATCTCTCGAACTACGCTCCGCTCCCTTTTAATCTAGACTATTACACGGAAGTCCAAGACCTTTCGTATCTGCTGCCGCACCTGGAAGCGGAATCATCTCGACTTTCGCATGATAAGTTCGGGGCCCTCAATCAGGCCATTATAGACCTCGTTGAAGATTTCGGACTCGTTGCATTCGAAACGCTAGCTGTCGAAGACAAGAAGAGCATGATGAGTCTGTTACATGTTATTGACCGTGCAAGCGGGTATGTGTTCGGACCTGCTGAAGGTGCAAACGACACCGTCTGGCAAGTTGCCGTCCGGGATGGCCTAGGAACGATGGATGTTCGAGATGTACAGGAACGCTGGCTAGATGCCAAAGATGAGCATGATGAACAGGAAAGGCAACAGTTGGAAGCAGAGGCCAAAGCACGAGATGAAGAGGCTGGTGCTACCAAACCCAGTGCTGGCTACGAGGACGACGACGAGTACGACGATCTTGGCAGGGGATTCATACCAGACAGCGGGGTGAAAGTTGTACGAAAGTCATGACATGAATTTTACCATCCTCTACTATACATGTATCATAGGGTATCTCTGATGAATGAAAAAGAAAACCTCGCCAACAACGGCGGACGCACCCAAAACAAAAGCAAACACCTTCATCCTATAGAAGACCATCAATCCTCTCCGTCACTCCCCATATCAACATCCTCCTCGTCATTGTCCATCACATCCTCAACAACACCAGAGCCCTCCTCATATTCCAACCCACCAACCAAGCCCCCAAGCACCCCAACCTCCTCCGCGCCTCTCAACCGCACAATCTCCTTCCTCGCCCGCCGAATCGCCTCTTCCTCCGCCTTCCGCATCGTCCCAGAAACCCTAATGACCCGAAAAACACAAGGCCTCGTCAACGGAACATCCGACCGCCTCGATCGATTCGAGTCCCCATACTCCGGCACCCGAGACATATAAGTCAGCGCCGTCCAAACAAGCCGGAACGACGCGCGCGGACAGCGAATAATAGCCGTCGAAGTTGCAGGCGACAAGTATTTAACTGTCCCAATCGAACTCAAGATTAACCACCATCGCGACCCGGCAGAAAACCCGCTCTACCAACATAGGGCTAACAAAATAGAAGAAGGGACTATACGTACCACTAACACCCCCAGCAGTAACACCACCCAGTCTTCCCACACCCCAATCACCAAATATCTCTGCGACTTCCTCCCTCACCATCTTCGCAAGCAAGCTCGGCGTCAGGGCGTCGGATGTGGGCGAGTGGATGCGCAATTGGGATTGTGCGTTTCGTGTTGCATTTTTCGGCGCCGTTGTCGAGGGCGGCCATGAGGTGGGATCTGGGTAGAGGATGTCGAGGAGCAGGTAGCGGTGTTTGACGCGGACCATTTTGGATTCTTTTTTGCGTTTTTTTCCGGGTTGTCTTGTCTATAGTTGGATGGACTTAGCTAGCGCGCTGAGGGTTTTTCGTTTGTGAGAGTTTTTCTTATTGTTTGAGCGACGAATTGGTGTGTGGATTGAGTGATATTGAGCGATTTCGAGCGGTCGAGCGCCCCCTTGTGACAAGTAGGTTTTGAGGATTCTCGGAGTTGGCGACGGTTTGAGTTGAACCGTAGATGTCCGGATATGTTTTATCGATTCAAGAATTGCAGAAGCTCTAAGTTAGTCCTGCCTATTGCGGTTAGTTCCATTACTTCCCAAAGTTTGATAAAGGGCAATGTGGGGTGCCAGAAGAACCGCTATCTCGGGCATTATGTTTCTCAATTGGACCGAAAGGCAATCGGTAAGTCACCTCATCTGGAATGGATTTTCTTCTTTTGATCTTGCAGTTCGTTGTCTTCGGTTATTTTCCCTCAAATTACCAGGCCGGCAACTTACAAGCGGAAAGCGGGCAATGCGCCGATACCTTTCAGCTAGACGGAGGGAACGAGTTATGAAGGATAGGGACAAACATTCCTCGCAGTTTTTAAACGATATGGAAAATATGATTGAAATTATAACCCATTGGATTGTAAATCAGGCTGTCGTAATTCTAACTCTTCTAAACAGGTTCTGCCTTTTCTGCCCTTGCATAGAATTCATCAACCCTATCAGCTAGTCATGCCACATGTGCGCACTACAGATTGTGAGGTGAAATAAAATGATATAAGAATCGAAACAATGCAACGCAAACCATCATAACTCCAACGTCAAGAACATGACGGGATTTTATGAGATTACCAGTATCCCACACTGGCCACTTCCACGAGTGTAAAGATATAGAGAAAATGAAAAGGTAAGAAATTAATAAGGATATATAAAAGATTAGAGGTTGACCTCGACACGGCCTTCGGATCCACCCTTCTGCAGGGCAGGGAGCAGGTAGGTGATATCGTCCCAAGGATGTCTGTAGAGGCCGGTACGCAGGCGCTTCTGGTCGAGGTAGTGGGCAATCAGACCGATACTGCGACCCAAGACGAAGAGACCGTTAAGGACACCCATCTTCATGTAGTCCTCGACCTCCTCGGGGGAGAAGGCACCGGAGTTGCGCATAAGGTCGACAAAGCAGACAGCAACGCAACCATCGACGTTCAGGATCAGGTTGTCCTTCTTGGAGGTGGTGACGGTCTCAACAGCGATGGCGTAGTCGAGCAACTTGGTGCTGGGGAAGTGCTTCTTGGCGAACTCCTTGACCAGCTCGACACGAAGATCGGGGTTGTTACGGGACTTGACACGGTGACCGATACCAGGAACTGTGTGCGGTTAGTGATGTGTTTTCAATTGGGAACGTAGTGAATGCGGTAGCAGGGGGACATACTGAGCTTGTTCTCCTTCCTCATGGTGTCAACGAAGTCACGGGGGCTCAGACCCTTGTCGAAGGCCTTGGTGAACTCCTCAGCAGCACCGTCAAGGGCACCACCGAAACGAGAACCAATGGTCAGGAGACCAGAAACGAGAGCACTGATCAGATCCTTGCCGGCACGGGTGGTAATGATGGTGTTCATGGCACCGGACACGGCAGGACCGTGGTCAGCGGTAAGCATGAGAACCATCTCCAAGAACTTGCTAGCATAGGCGGGAAGGCGGCGGCGGAACCAAAGAAGAGACATGACACCACCAATACCAATGTCCTCCCTGAAGACATCGGAGATGGGCATACCAGCGTAGAGGAGCTCCTGGCCACGGTCGTCGGAGATAGTGGAGATGAATGCGGCGGGCTTACGGACGAGACCAAGCTCCTGGGCCCAGGAGTAGTCGATAGGGATCTTAGGGGGAACAGGCTCGGGCTGAGGCTGGATGTTGCCCTTGCTGACCTCCTGGTCGTAGACCTCCTTGAGCACCTTGGGCATGTCCTCAAAGGTCTCGGGGACGTGGATACCAGCCTCCCTCATGGCCTTGTTCTTAGCAACAGCGGTCTCCAGGTCGGAGTTGGCCGAAGCACCAGCGTGACCGAACTGGACCTCGGTCTTGAACATGCTGGCGCAGGTACCAATGGCCCAGGCAACAATGGGCTTGGTGATAGTGCCGTTCTTGACGGCCTCGATGACACGGTACTCCTCAACACCACCGACTTCACCGAGCAACACAAGGATCTTGCACTCCGGCTCGTTCTGGTAACGCAGCAAGTGGTCGATGAAAGTGGTACCAGGGTAACGATCACCACCAATGGCAACACCCTCGTAGACACCATCGGTATTTTGAGAAACAATGTTGTTCAATTCGTTGGACATACCACCGGACTTGGAGACGTAGCCAACAGAGCCCTTACGGTAGAGCTTGGAAGCCACAATGTTGTCCATCATACCACCAGTGTTACCAATCTTGAAAGCACCAGGCTTGATACCTCCGACGGTAGCGGGTCCAATGATAGTGATGCCCTTCTCCTTGGCAGTGACGAGGATCTCACGAGCGCGCTATTACCACTGTTAGTTGGGGTCTAGTTTGGCAGAGGTAAAGAACCTACTCTTTCTGGGACACCCTCAGCAATGATGGCAATGGACTTAATCTGGGGGCAGTTCATCAACTCCATGGTAGAGCTGTACACGGAACGGGAGGAGGCGAAGTTCACAACAGTGTCAACATCGGGGTGCTTGGCCATGGCCTTGGAAACGTCCTGGTAGACAGGGAGCAAAGTCTCGCTAGTACCCCAGTACATCTTGCTCACGAATTGACCACCGAAAGTGTAGATGATACCGGCGACTGAGGGTGTGCTACGCTTGCAGATGAAATCGAAGTCGAGCATGCCCTGCACGGCCTTGGGCTGCATACCACTGCCATAACAGTCAATACCTGGCATTGACCCGCAGAGGGCGAAAGTACTCACTATACGAAACATCTGGTCTTGTTGTGGAAGAGGGCATGGTTGAGAGGAGAAAGCACACGGCTGGGGGGTGCGAAGCGGGTGATGTTGTCGTTGGCAGAGCCGCCATTTGCGGTGTTGACAAGAGGAGCGGTAGAAGACATGATGGCTAATTACTCTGTTAATCCGGTTAACATTAGCAAGGTGTTCAAAATTCCAGGTCTGGCGGGAAGACTGGGTCAAGGGGACGGGAAATGGATGATATCAGGATCCGAACTGATTTCGAAGCATACCTGTCAACAGAGCTCCAAACGTAAAACAATCAAAGGAAACAAGGAAGTATTATTAGGTGTATGTAGGTGAGTTAAATGTTATAGAGGAGAGTAAGTCGCAACAAGTAAAAGCGACCTGGGAGGGAAGGAGAAGATAGATGGGAGGGAAGGATAAGGACGATAACCAAGGAAGGAGGATGGAGAAATTGGAATTGGAGGGGGAATGAAGTGGATTAATCGATGAGTTAAGACGGAGTGGGAGAAGAAAAAAAATAACAACAGAGGGGAACGATATCGGGTTAAGATTGGGGGTTGGTACGGAGTAAAGAATTATGGAGCTGCTAATAATAATTTTTGAGGTGAAGTACAGAAGCCCGGAGTCTGAAGTATGTACGGCGTATGGTTGGTATGTATCAGGCAGGTAATCGTATGGGTGGGCGGTATGGGGCAGTACTATACGGTCTTGAGAAAACGGCGGGGGGCGCAATGCGGGACCAGTTGGGAAAATAGTAGTCTGGCCTGAGGCTAAGTTCGGACTTCGGGACTGTCCTAATAATAACCTTCAGATGAGGAATCTTTATTGGAAAATCTAGTCTAGCTGATCGGGATTCGGGAAAGCCACAGATATCATCTTGAGGAGAAGCTACGGTGTTGGAATAAAAAGAGCTAGGGCTGATGTGACGGCGTACAGCGTATTGCTTACAGAGTGTGGAGGATGCGACCAGCTAGCCTGCAGGGCATTACTTGGGAGAGGTTGATAATATTGCTCAACAAACTTAAGTCTTGTTTTTTTCTGCCTGGCGGTGATCTGAAGTACACCGTATAAACTGGACTGACTCCAGTGGTGACCCGAAGTACACGGTATTCATAATACTGACCCCGATAGTGATCTGAAGTACACCGTATATACAATACTGACTACGGTCAAAAAGGGTAATGGGCAGGATAATCGGGCCATCTTCAAACGAGTCTCGACTCCAGAAAGTTAAAGGTCAAGGCACTAATTCTGTACGGTGATCTGGTCGGCACTAAAGGTGGGGTCGATGAACGTCTGATATTTTTTTTTTCTTGTTGGCACAGGGATGGTAGTGTACCTTCCCTAGTATACAAAGTACACGGTAAACCCGAGTACACCTCATGCATCGCCTGCATCTTACTACGTAAAGATGCCGGTTGAAAAAAAACATCTGATTCGACTCGGCTCTCTGCTAATAACGATCGCACATGACGATGCTCACCGACTAAACATCATGCAACTCCGACAAAGATGCATTAGAACCGACTATTTCCTTTTACATCCAGGGTGCTAATAAAAGGTAGTATCTATGACTTCATGACAAAATATCTGTAACTACGTCAGGTAAGAGAAGGTGGTAGTACCTTACTCCGTGCAGTGTAGTATCTTGATAGCACCTAGACCACCTCAAGTATGGAGCTATATCCATGGTAATAGTCTAACCTTCTAGAAGATTGTCGAAAGGCGGTGAGGGGGTCTATTGGGTACCTGAGCAGTTAGGCAATAAAATCATTCACTGACGGATTCTACCTCCAGTAGGCCTAGTAGCACCGAGTACTGTACTGTGTACTAGTAGTAGGTAGATCTTCTCAATGAACGCAGTCCCCTGTCCCTGGATATTATTCCGATTTCGACAGTGGTCCACGTGTACGCTGCATATTCTACGTATCAAACTCTCTAGTACTCCTGAGGGGTCACCAACAAAACCTACCAAACCCAACAAAACCGATAATGAGAAACCAAAATTACAGATAAAATCTACGATGAAATGCGACTTCCGGAGGGAACCGTCCGAACAGCGCCAGAAGTTGCCATTCATCAA